GGGGGGTGGAAATGATGCCCCATAGGGGGACTGTGGCGAAGGTGACATCAGGGGAGGGGGTTGGATCTCTCCAGGGATGGGGGTTTTTGCCGGAGCCCCGCGTTGTTTCAGAATCGGGGTTGGGGTGGGTATGCGGGGCTGGGTTGCTGTTCTGTGTTGGGATGTGATGCGTGATCCTGTCCCTTTCCCTCCTGTCTTGAAGGTAGCGTTTGCCAGAATTGAGGGCGACAAGATAGTGTGCGCCGCATACTCTCACGAGCTCCCGAGATATGGTGTGAAAGTCGGGCTGACCAACTACGCAGCAGCTTACTGTACTGGCCTCCTCCTCACTCGCCGGGTAAGAATCTGTGTGTTCACACCAGCGGGAGTCTCCTCCAGCTCTTCCCAGACCTCACCAACTCTGACTAAAACAGAAATTGCTGCAAACACTCCACACATGTGGAGAAAGAGACACAGCACTGATGTTTTGTATTGAAAGCGCTCACTTAGAATTGGTGACAATTCTAGGGGCAGGTAAAGTGAGACCACACAAATCTGGGTAGGTACAGAAATAGATCACTCAACCCTTTGAGCTTGCTTTGTTATTTAGTACTAAAACGGCATTAAAAATAGGAAGTGAGAATATGCCATTCGGCCCCTCTGGCATTGCACAGCATTCAATAAATTCTGGCCTTGTCTGCCCCAGGTCTCAAAATTCCAGAGGTTCACAGCTCTGGCTGTGACCCCATGTTGCACTTCGCCAGTCACCGTCGATCCTTTCAGGAACCATAGAGTCCCTACAGTGTGGAAACAGGCCATTCGGCCTAACAAGTCCACACTGAAGGGCATCCCACCCAGACCCATCTCCCAACCCTTTCCCTGTAACCCTACATTTCCCATGGTTAACACACCTAACCCATACATCCCTGAACACTATGGGCAATTTAGCATGGTCCATCCATCCTAACCTGTACATCTTTGGACTGTGGGAGGAAACTTACCAGACATTTGGGGGAACGTGCACCATCACCCGAGGGTGAAATCGAACCTGGGTCTATGGTGCTGTGAGGCAGCAGTAGTATTACTATTGATCTTAGTAGGATAATAGGTCGGCACAACATTGTGGGCCGAAGGGCCTGTGCTATGCTGTACTGTTCTATGTTTGCTGACCACTGAGCCCCCTTCAGAGTTAACTGTGTTTCAGCTAGATCACACCCTTTCCCAGGCTTGGGCCTAGTTCCTTCATCTGTCCTCATCTGAGGAAGCAGTCTGAGGGTAGCACTGAATCAGTGCACTGTCTCTGCAACAGTAACCGGTCTGTGTGTTTGTGCTCAGTGTCAGGTTACTGTGTAAGACAGTCATGCCACCCAGGATGAAGCAGCCGGCTTGATTGGCACCACATCCTCCAGCAACCCCTTTTATTAACTGGATGTGAATTTCATGTGGGGTTTGAACCCACGCCCCCAGAAAATTGTCTCGGGGTTTTGGATTACGAGTCCAGTGACAGGAGATGCGGTTACAATACAAAGTTATTGAGAGCGGTATTAACATGCTTGGTTATAAAGTAGGTTAGCCTTTTGTGATTGTTTCAATGTGTGTTTAAATTGCAACAGAGCTTTAGGTTAAAGTTATTGTAGATTCATTTAAAGACACATTGAAACACAGCCCAAAGCACAACGGAGCAGCATTGCCCTCGGTTTTCTTTTCTATACGAGGGATGTAAATGTTGCTGGCAAACCCAGCCTTTGTTTCCTGTCCTGATCGCCCTCGAGAAGGAGACAGCATTGCCACCTTTGTGAACTCCCTATCCTGTCTTGGAAACACATCGCCGTTCCTTCAGTGTCGCTGGGTCAGAATCCTGAGCTCCTTCCCTAACAGCACTGTGGGTCAGCCCTGCAGCACATCAACTGCAGTGGCCACGAGGCAAATGCTGGGCCCAGGCAGTGTCACAACCATATCCCACGAAAGAATGTTTGAAGGTATAAATGCCGCAGTCTAGCCCCGTGATTGCAAAGGAGTGGCCACGGTGTTCTCCTAATACATGCTTCTGAGGGGAGCTTGCTGCCTTCTCTGCTCGACGTTTTGGCTGTGCCTGTGGTCTGGTTTGGGCTTTGCACTGTCCTTTGCTGTCGGCGGGCAGCTGTGTGTCTCCGCGCCTGTGTGCCTCCCTCTGTCGGCCCCTCTGTCCGTGTTTTTGCACATATCCCTGCCCATCCGTGCAATGTGTCCAGATTTGGCCAGAAGGAGAGCCCTCACGTGGCTCAAACTAGTCTAAACGGCTTCTGTTTAAGAATCATTCCTGGTAGCTTCGACGTGAAAGCGGTTTAAGCTGCACGCCTGATGATCGAGTTTCCTGATCAGTTTCTTGGGGAGTCTTTGGACCGAAGAATGAATTTGCAGCTTGCGGTTTGATGCTGTGTCATGTTCTCTCCTGGCAGCTGCTGCAGAAATTTGGCTTGGATAAAATCTACCAAGGAGAGGTGGAGGTGACCGGCGGAGAGTTCAACATGGAGAGTATCTCGGGGAAGCCGGCTGTGTTCACCTGTTTTCTGGATGCTGGCCTGACCCGTACCACCACTGGCAACAAGGTGTTTGGAGCCATGAAGGGCGCAGCTGATGGCGGCCTCTCCATCCCCCATAGGTAAACAGGCAGGAGATGATCAAATCTGACAGCCCGGGAGGAGGCCATTCAGCCCATCAGGCTGGTGCTGGCTCCTCAGTTTTCCTCCCCTGTGGATATATGATCTGAGTATTTATTCAGTTCTCCTTTCTTGAATGTTACTGTTGAATCTCTCTCCACCATCTGTATGCTATAACACAAATAATACCTAAACCCTGTGTAAAAATCTCCTCCTGTCGGTCTTCTGTGTATTTGTTTTTGCCCTCCTGCCATTGGAAACGGTGAGGAGATGGAATGGAGTTGAAGAGCTCTTTTTCATCTTCACTGCTTGAAAAAGAACAGCTGACCTCAGCTACTTCACTCGCTTTCTCATGCCCTCTAATCTTGGTATTGTTTGAGCCAATTCTGCACCTTCTCTCTACACCTTTCCCAACCTCCTCCAAGTACACAGCGCCTTGTTGTGGGCACTGTACTGTAGCTGGTGTTCACAAACACTTTCCACAACTGCCTTGCTTTTACATTCTCTCCCTCTGTGATTAAAGTCCGGAATCCGGTTTGCCTTCATTTACCAGTTTTCTTAACTTATCCACCCAAGGATCCTTCTGTACACCAGAGGACTCTGTTTCCAAATCCTCCTTTTAAAATTGTCCAGTTTATTATGCATTCATAGAGTAGTACAGTACAGAAATAGACCCTAGGGTCCAACTCATCCCTGCTGACCAGATACCTTAAATAAATCTAGTTCCATTTGCCAGCATTTGGCTTCCTGTTCATGTACCCATCCAGATGCCTTTTAAATGTTGTAATTGTACCAGCCTCCACCACCTCCTCTGGCAGCTCATTCCATACACACACCATCCTCCATGTCGGGGAAAGAAATGTTGCCCCTTGGGTCCCTTTTCAGATCTTGCCCCTCTCACCTTAAACCTATTCCCTACAGTTTTAAATTCCCAATCTCTGGAACAAAGATGTTGTCTATTCATCCTGCACGTGCCCCTCATGATTTTATAAACCTTTTATAAGGTCACGCCCCAGCCTAGCCAGCCTCTCCCTGTAGCTCAAACCCTCCATTCCCAGCAACATCCTTGTAAGTCTCCACTTTCAAGGAACTATAAACCTGCAGCCCAAGGCCTCTTTGTTCGGCACCGCTCCCCAGGACCTTACCGTTGAGTGTATAAAATGCAACACCTTACGTTTATCTAAATGAAAGTCCATCTGCCACTCCTCAGCCCATCTGATCAAGATGTCATTGTACTCTGAAGTGCCCTGCCTATTTTGGTGTCATCTGCAAACTTAGTACCCATACCATCTATATTTGTATCCAAATCATTTGTATAAATGACAGAAAGCAGTGGACCCAGCACCGATCCTTGTGGCACAGGCCTCCAGTCTGAAAAACAACCCTCCAGCACCACCTTCTGTCTTCTACCTTCAGGCCAATTTAATATCCAAATACCTAGGTCTCCCTATATTCCATGCCACCTTTTCAAAATATTTCAGTTCACGCTCTTCTGCATTCAGATGTTTGCCCATCTCATCTGCCTGTCCCTGTTCCCCAGAACTCACTCACTGCTCATGCTGTTTGGCACCCAAGTCATCCTGTATTTTATCTTCACCAGGTTTAGGTATGCCTGGTGCTGTACCCCCTGCGCTCTGGACTCTGCCAGGGTTGATCCCCTGGCATGATGTAGTGCTGCTGCTAAGCTGCTCTCAATGATAAACGTTGAAATCCCCCACTCAGTGTATATTCTCCACCATTGCCACCCTCTGTGCTTCTTCCACGTGTTGTTCAACATGGAGGGGACTGATTAATGAACTGAGGGGGGTGGGGGTGGTTACAGGATGTGGTAATCAGCAGGAGGTTTCTTTGTCCGTGTTTGACCTGATACCATGAGGCTCAGGGGACTCCCAGGTCAGGACGGTGTGTGGCTCGGAGGGGAATGAAACCGCTGCTTTTGTTGCAGATGGTAGAGATTCTGGGTTCAGAAGGTGCTAGCTGTATCCTCCCGGACGTTGGTTGCTGTATTGCGTCATTCACTGAAGAGTATGAGTGATAAAACCCACGTAAGCCACTTCTTTACGAGCCTGCCAAACTACTGCCAGCATCGGAGACTCAGTCAGAGTACACAAACATTCAATACTCATCTATCCATCTTTGGTAGAGGGTGTGAATATTTATGATGAACGATCTGTCTCTCTCCCTGCCCCTGTGCTGCTCCCCTCGCCTTCTCTCCTTTCTCACTCACATTCCTTTTCCCCTCTAGCACCAAGAGGTTCCCCGGTTACGACTCTGAGAGCAAAGATTTCAATGCTGACGTACATCGCCGGCACATCTTTGGCCTGAATGTTGCCGACTACATGAGGCAGCTGATGGAGGAGGATGAGGACACATACAAGAAGCAGTTCTCCCAGTACATCAAGAATGGCATCACCCCTGACATGGTGAGCTTTCGCTCAGTTGTTGCACAGTCTGCGTTGCAGGGATAGAGCATTACGGCTGAATGTCCAGGCTTTTGGTCCTGGGTCTTAAATCGATGGTTCACTCAACGTAACGCCTCCCCATACGCCTCTGGTTTTTGTATTAAATTGCCAGTCCGGGCGACAGGATGCTGCTAAAGCTGGCACCTGCCTGCTCTCCACGTTTCTGTCCCTGTCAGAGGGAGTGGGAGTTACCAAACAAATGGGTGGGGGGTGAGTGGGTGTATGTATGAGAGAGAGAAAAACTGACAGCTTATTGGGCCCCTGCAGGTGGAGGACATGTACAAAACAGCTCACCGAGAGATCCGGGCCAACCCCACGCATGAGAAGAAACCCAAGAAGGAAGTTGTGAAACAGAAACGGTGAGTGGCTGCCTGTAGCGATGGGGCTTGGGTTTTCACCGAGTGAGACCTCGAGCCAAAAGCTCCTGATCCACTGATGGTTCCTTTTTTCTTTTGTGCGTTTGAGAATGTGAGGGGGATTTGAGTGCGTGACCGCTTTCGATATTTTTGTACAGGCGTGTGGTCATTTCCAAGGGGCAGCTTCACAGGAACTTTGGATTTCCTTTTACTTGTTGGTGGGACGTGGACGTCTCTGGCTGGGTCTAGAATTTATTGCCCAGCCCCAGAGAAAATGGTGGTGGGCTGATGCCTTGAACCACTGTAGCCCTCGAAGTGTACAGCTGTTCAGAGTAAAGTTCAGAATTTTAGCGACAGTGAAGCAGTGATTTCCTTGATGGAAGTGGTCACAGATTTGTCGGAGAAGCCTCTGACAAGATTCAAAGCAGCAACTCAGTAGTACACACTGCTGCTACTGAGCGTCAGTGGTGGAGGGAGTGGGATGTTTGTGGATGTGGTGCCAATCAAGTGGGGGGACCTGGATGGTGAAAAGCTTCCTGAGTGTTATTGGAGCTGCCCCCATCCAGGGCAAGTGGGGAGTATTCCATCACACTCCTGCCTTGTGCCTTGTAGATGGTGGGACAGGCTCTGCGGAGTCAGGAGGGGAGTTACTCACCGCAGGATTCCCCGCTCTTGTAAGTGGCAGCATTAATGTGGCTGCTGCTGTTCCGTTTCTGATGATGGTGGTCACTGAGTTGAGTAGGAAACTTTAATTTGATGCCCATTCACGCCATGTGGGAACGGACCCGAGGAGTCAAGTAAGAAGGAAGTCTCTTAAAGTTTTAAACACCCCGGTGACTGTGTGTTCAGTGTCTGACCACTGTGATCTCAGAACACAGCATGCAACCCCCTCCCCCACCCTACCCCACCCCACCCCCCCACCCCCCCCCCCCCCCCCCCCACCCCCACTAAAACAAATAGGCGCTCCCTCATCTGTGAGGATCAGATTTGGTTCCATTGTGTATTGACCTTTTGGAATTAGTGTGTGTGTATGTGTTTCCCAGTGACTGAATCCCCCCTTTTTCCTGTTCTCTCCGCAGGTGGAACCGAAGGAAGTTGTCCTTGGCTCAGAGGAAGGACCGTGTTGCCCAACGGAAAGCCAGTTTCCTTCGGGCACAGTCAGCAGGTGGTGATTGACTAACCCAGGCCAGCACTCCATCAGTGTGGAACAACCAGCTGAACAAATAAAGGGATTTTTAAACAAAAAACACCACCTCCATGCCTTTTATCACGTTAACTTGGCCGGGCCATAGCATGTCGAGACTGTGTAAGGCTGTTTCAGCCAGTCCCACCTTAACACTCCTGTTTCTCTGAACTGTGGCCCGAAACCACTGTGCAGGAGAAAGCAGTAGCTTGGGCATGGCCTTCAGCTTTTGGTTCACTTGGAGGGACTGAGTACAGTGTGAGCTACCTGCATCCAGCCCTGCCTTTAACCCGAGCGAGAAACTGGTTCTCTGCTGTTTGCTGCTGCCTTGATTACTGCAGGTTGTGGGTGGCTGGGAGGAGCGGACTGGACACCAGTGGAGGTGAACTATTTCAAACCACTTCCAACAGATCCTTGGCTGGGTGTAAGGTCTATTAGTATAATGGAGACTGAATGGCCTCTTGCATTGTAATATTCTGTGCCTGGAGGTCATGCGCCTTCTGGGGAATATGTGCAAAAACCCCTTCCCCACATGGTAGCAGATGTCTGAGAACATCAGAAATAGGTCAGGGCCCCTTGAGCTTGGTCCCCAGTTCCCCAAGACCCTGGTCCATCTGGAGTCTGCTTCCCCATTTCCCGAGACCCTGGTGATTCTATAGTCGGTGTGCATTTACTCCTCATTCCCAGAATCCTTCGTCCCCTGGCTCTCAGTCTCTGTCTTCAGTGAACTCATCATCTGAGCTCTTTGGGGTTGAGAATTCTGATGAAATTTCTCCTCATCTCGGTCATAATGGGATGATCCTTGTCCTAAAACTCTGCCCCCTCATCTGCAGCCAATGAAAACAGCCTCTCCGTGTCGACCTTTTCAAATTCTCCAGGTGTCAGTCATCTTGTTGGATGGTCTGGGCTGTGCTGGATGTCCAGTTGGCTCGGCTCTCAAGTGGGTATGAAGCTGTATGTTTGAACATATGAGTTTCCAAATTTACAACAGGTTCCCAGAATGGTTTCAGCACAGGAGGAAGCCATCTGTGTTTCTGACCACTCTGTAGAAGCAATTCACTTTGCACCATTCCCCTGCCTTCTCTCTGTGATCCTACATGTTCTTCCCTTTCAGATGGCATAATTCGCTTTTAAATTGCTTTGGTACAACCATCCTCTCAGGCTGTGCATTTGAGCTACTCACTGTGAGAAAGATTTTTCTCGCATCTCCACTGCTTTTTTTTTGCCAGTCACCATGAATCTCACTCTCTGGTTCTCAATCCATTTATGAATTGGGGATGGTTTCTCCCCATCTGTCTAAACCCCTCATGACTTTGAAAACCTCAGTTGAATCTTCTCAGCCTTCCCCCTAGACCCAGTATCTTGAGTCTATCCAAGTAACTGAACTTTCTCATACCTGGAATCATTCTCTACAGTCTATAATGCTTAAAAGGCATCTGGATGGGTATGTGAATGGAAAGGGTTGAGAGGGATATGGGCCAAATACTGGCAAATGGGTCTGGGTCAGATTAGGTATGTCTGGTCAGCATGGACAAGTTGGACTAAAGGGTCTGTTTCGGTGCTCTATGCCTCTTTAAAGAGGTGTAATCTAGTGGATTTATACAGTCAGGATCTGAAATGCACTGTATGAGCAGGAGCTTTAAGCAGGCAAGGAAGTTGGTTTAAAAACTTAGAAATGGTCAGTACTGAGAGAGCATAACCATCTTAGCTGGATGTTCTTGCCACATCTATAGCAAACTTGTTTATTGCCTGGTGAAAATTGCCCTTTCTGTATCGGAGTTGGCATCACTGCAATGAGGTAAGAGCATACCTGATGTGCTAAGGATTCATAGCCAGTGTGCGTACACATTTACCTTGTCCTTGTGATGGATGGATTTAAAGTGATTGGTAAAGGAAGTAAAAGCGATCCGAGGGAAGAACATTTTCCCCACACAGCAGGGGAATCGGATGATTATTTGAAAAGGGGCAAGGCACAGGGTAACAGGGAGATGGTGGGAGAGTGACACATTGAAAAGGAGCAAGGTGCAGGATGAGGATGAGATGGTGGGGGAAAGTGACGCTCTGAAGAGGAGCAAGCCGCAGAGTGACGGGGGGGAGAGCAGTACGTTGGGAAGGAGCGAGGCGCAGCGTGACGGGGAGAGAGAGCAGCAGTTTGCGGAGTAAGGTGGAGGGTGATAGGGAGACGGTGGGAGAGTAACGCTCAGAAGGTGCGGGGAGACGGTGGGAAATTGATGCTTTGAGAAGGGGAGGGTGGCCCTTGCTGAGAGATGTTGGATGGGCCGAGGGGCCGCTCCCTGAGGGATGTAGGGGGGACGGGGTTTGCTCTAGCTCCTGGCGGAGAGACAATACTGAGATAACAAGGTGTGGAGCAGGAAAGCTGACGATTCGGGCCTAGACCCTTCTTCAGACGCTGTGTTCATCCAGCTCCCGCTATCTCTGAGGGACAATACTTCCGGCTTTCACTCCATTGGTTACCCGGCTGCGACCAATGGTTGGCGGCTGCGGCCGCTGGCCCTTGTCTCATTGGCCGATTGGTGTAACCAATGCGGCGGCGCCCCCTTGTTCGCTGTCCGCCCCCTTTATTTTGTGAATGAATGAGGGAGTAGTGTCTCTCCCCCCCCCCCCCCCCCCACCCCCCTACACATACACACCCCCTCTTACACCAGGGCAAGGAGACCAGGAGCTGGGGCTTCAGCCTCTTCACTGCCAAGGTAGCTCTCCCTCTCACCCCCAGAACCTGCATTACCCCCACCCCGGGGGCAAGGTACCATCCCTGTGGGGGCTGGGTGCACCTTGTCGGAGGGAGGGGAATAGACCCTTCCCTGGGGGTGGGGAGTACACCCTGCCCTGGGGTTGGAGGGGAGGGAAACAGACCCTGCCCTGGGGCTGCGGGGGTGGGGAACAGACCATTCCACGTGGGTATAGACCAGCAGGATCATTGTACCCTCCTGCACACTTTTGTACTGAGGGTGTGAGGCACAGTCAGTCTCCTGTTGGGAAACTTAAAAGGGCTCACAAAAGATTTACAAGGATGTTGCCGGCGTTGGAGGGTTTGAGCTATAGAGACGGGCTGGGGCTATTTTCCCTGGAGCGTCGGAGACAGGAGTGACCTTATAGAGGTTTATAAAATCATGAGGGGCATGGATGGGGTGAATAGCCAAGGTCTTTTCCCCGGGGTGGGGGAGTCCAAAACTAGAGGGCATAGGTTTAAGGTGAGAGGGGAAAGATTTAGAAGGGACCTTTGGGGCAACTTTTTCTCGGAGAGGGTGGTGCGTGTATGGAATGAGCTGCCAGAGGAAGTGGTGGAGGCTGGTACAATGACAACATTTAAAAGGCATTTGGATGGGCACATGAATAGGAAAGGTTTAGAGGGGTAGGGGCCAAACGCTGGCAAATGAGACTGGATTTATTTTGGGTATCTGGTCAGCAGGGATGAATTGGACTGAAGGGTCTGTTTCCATGCTGTACATCTCTGTGACCCCTGTAATGACAGTGAGTGTTGGTTTCTATAGCAAAGTGGGTTCTTTATTTGCTGTCTCAGGGCAGGCAGGTCTTTATATCACCCCACCCTATACACACACAGACACAGTGCCTGGGACTCGGGTTCGATTCCACCCTTGGGCGACTGTATGCAGTTTGCACGTGCTCCCCGTGTCTGTGTGGGTTTCCTCTGAGGTGATGCAGGAACCCCCAAGTGGGACCTCACCGATCTACTCTCAATGACAGTATTGGTAGGAATGTGGAGAGGACTGCTTGTCCTCACACTGAGAGGGGTACTCTCCATGGCATTGCCTTGTGCTATCACCGTGCCAAACAGGCAAGATTCAGAACAGATCTTATTACTGAAAACTGGGCAACTATCCAACCAAAACCAACCCAACCAGGAACACGTCCACCAAGTAACTATTTAAACCAATCACCAAGGATATGGTGTCATTGTTGTGAGGAGAACTTTGTTGACTTGGTAACCAAGGCTTAGCTTCATTTCCTTGTAAGGTTTGATGTTGGACAGCACCTGTACTGCAGGAAGACATTTGTCACTTTTCTAGAGGGGTTAGCATTAATCATCGGGTATGGGCATCACTGGCTAAGCCAGCGTTTATTGCCCAGAGTTCAGCTAAGAGTCAATCCCATTGCTGTGGGTCTGGAGTCAGGCTGGGTCAGGACAGCAGATTTCCATCCTGAAAGGGTGTTAATAAACCAGGTGGGTTTTTTTTAAACAATTGCAGTCACTCTTTATTCCAGATTCAAAGCCAAAGCCCTGGATGACCAGTCCAGTGACATTACCACCACAGTCCGGCCTCCCCTTTATAGGTGGCCTTGGGGGACATCATTGGTGATGGGTGTCCCAGTTACCAGGGCAAGCTGCCAATGTTTGATTTGAGGTTTGGTTTCTGCTGGAATAGTTCCACAGAGAGAGATGAGCTGACCTAGTGCTCAGGAGAAGTTGGAAATGGAGATGGCATGGGGAGTAGTGGTTGGCTCAGAGGCGCTTGAATCTTTCTGTAGGGGAAACATTCAGGCCAATACTGGAGCAACTACCAGACTTGGGGATGAGTCTGGGATTGACTCAGCATCGAACCTTATGACTCACCTCTTTGGTGCCTCCGCACGGTTGAAGTTGAGGAGGGAAACCGGAGCCGTGTAGAAAGTGGGTGGATTCACCAGGTTCAACACAGTGTGGAGCTGGAGGAACACAGCGGGCCAGGCAGCATCAGAGGAGCAGGAGATTTGACGTTTCGGGTTGGGACCCTTGTTCATCAGATGCCGTACCTGCTGTGTTCTTCCAGCTCAACGCTGTGTTGTCTCAGACTCCAGCATCTGCAGTTCTTGATATCTCTGGATTCAACAGGTGCCACTTAAACCCGGGGGAGTAGTTTCCATCCACTTAATGGGTGTGCAAATTTGTTGCCCCCTTGAGAAGGTGGGGGTGAGCTGCCTTCTTGAACCGCTGCAGTCCATGTCCTGTGGGTTGACCCACAATGTCCCTTAGGGAGGGAATTCCAGAATTCTGACCCAGCGACACTGAAGGAACGGTGATATATTTCCAAGTCAGGATGGGGAGTGGCTCGGAGGGGAACTTGCAGGGGGCTGGTGTTCCCATGTATCTGCTGCCCCTTGTCCTTCTGGATGGAAGTGGCCGTGCGTTTGGAAGGTGCTGCCTGAGGAATCCTGACGGAATTTTACAGAGCATGTTATGTATGGTGTAGACTATTGCCACTGTGTGTGTGTGTGTGTGTGTCAGTGCTGGGTAGAGAGTGCTGTGAGAGTGTTATTATTGGACAAGTCACACCGAAAGCTTGATAGATCATATTTTGCTGTTTTTCTTTTATTTTGAAACTGAAATGTAAAGGTGCAAAGCTGTAGATCCAGGTTTAGCAATTTATTGCATAAAAGAAATGAGGATAAGATAGAATAGACCAAGCTATTTACCTAGTTTAAAGATTTTGAAACACTCAACAAAATACAATCCCAAAAATACACCTTTAAATACTCACACCAAAGAGAAACCTCTCCCTGTTCCCATTTTTTTAGGGCTTCATTTTACTATAGTTTCATTAAGGTTCAGCATGGTAGACTGGTTAGATTAGATCTCTTGGAATCTGGACATGGGTGGGGAGCGGTGTTGGGGGAGAGCTCTGTTGGGGGGGTAGCGTTGTTGGGTGTGGTAGCGTTGTTGGGGGTGGTAGCGTTGTTGGGGGTGGTAGCGTTGTTGAGGGGGTAGCGTTGTTGGCGGGGGGGAGCGGTGTTGCGGGGTGGGGGGGAGCTGTGCTGGTAAACTGGCCAATTGTCTGCAAAATTGGTTTGAAGGTAGAAGACAGAGGGTAGTGCTCGAGGGTTACTTTTCAGACTGGAGGCCTGTGACCAGCGATGTGCCACTAGGATCGGTGCTGGGTCACCTGCTTTTTGTTATTTGTATAAATGATTTGGATGTGAACACAGGAGGAATGGTTAGTACATTTGCAGACAAGGGGCACCATTTTCCCACAGAGGATGGTGCGTGTATAGAATGAGCTGCCAGAGGAAGTGGGTGAAGGTTGGTACAGTTACAACATTTAAAAGGCATCAGGATGGGTACGTGAATGGGAAGGGTTTAGAGGGATATGGGCCAAATGCTGGCAAATGGGACTGGATTTATCTAGGATATCTGGGTCAGCATGGACGGGTTGGACTTAAGGATCTGTTTCCGTCCTGTATGCCTCTATGACTGAACTCCTTACACTGAGGTAACCTCGTTCTTAACATTTCTAATTTCCCATTCTCATGTAAAGCTGTTTATGTGTCCACTTTCAGCCAAGACTTCTGCAAAAAACTGCCCCAAACTAAACTACATTTTTATTCCAGGCTGTGGGGATTGATACCGGATTATGGAAAGAGAGCGGGGCAATGGGATTAGTTTGGGATTGGCACAGGTCTATGGGGAGAGAGCAGGGCAGTGGGATTAGTTTGGGGATTGATACAGGGACATGGGGAGTGAGCAGGACAGTGGACTTTGTTTGTGCAGCGAGGCAAGGCTATGGGGAGAGAGTGGGGCAGTGGGATTGGTTTG